TGTTAACAAAAATACTTTCAATAATAACTGCGTTTTCAACGAAATTATAAATATTCGTCAAAGTTAATACAAATAATTTTAACCACTAATCCAATTTCTTCAGTGTACCTGATACCTGATTCTTTCCCCCAAGAAAGAAAAGTCTTTAAGTCCTTAGAAATTGGTTTACTAACGTCAATTATATTTGCTTCAGCCATTCTTACAAACCCGTTATACTTAAAGTTACTTTTTTCTGTTTTAAATACCAATTAAAATTATAAAGCCCACTCACTAAACATCATCAGCGTTATTGTGAAGCAATTCCGCTTCCTCCTCACAAAGTAATTCAACATTTTTAGTTAATTTTTATCAAGCTAATTGAATTTATAGAGTAACTCAATGATTTAATTATTTCATTTGTTCATCTTCCTAAGAAGAATTGTTTCAAATGTGTTAAACTTTTTAAACTACACGAAGTATAAAACAGTTATTGAAAAAACTTTTTTATTTATAAATAAATCATTTTGCATTAGTTTTATTGGTTGAATCTTGTTGAACTTTTCAGGGCCGGGGGCTGCATTATTTTGGCGGCCTTGTTTATGTGCCACAGCGTAAAAATGACTAAAAAAATACCGAATGGTCCTCTTGACTATTTCCCCTAACATTATGAGTCCCGGGGCTATAGCCCTACTACCCCCACCCCACCTCCTCAATCCGCAACTTGAAATAAGGCATAAGTATATAAATAAAAATTACATATACTCTGATAAATCGAAAAACATTTGTTTCTTTATAGTTGTTACTTTATATAAAAAATGTCGCTTAATTTTATAAAAAAAAATTATAAAAGAGCGACGTTTCAAAAATAATTGCTCTAATAAATTTATTTTGTATAAAGTTTTTTCGCTATTATTTAAAAGCTATTTTTCTTTTTTTAACTGTCTCTCAGTTAAAAAAAGAAAAGTCCAGTTAATCTTATTGTGCTTTTTTGTTTGTTTTTGAAATGTTCTCAAAACGACTATAAAATTTGGCCGGTTTTTCGCAACTAAATATTATTTCCGTGGTCAATTATCGAGTGCGATCGCACCTGCTTTCTGACCAAGCCTGATACATACATACATACATACCTACATACATACATACATACATACATTTATACATACATACATACATACATACATACATACATACATATATATATATATATATGTATATATATATATATATATATATATATATATATATATATATATATATATATATATGTATATATATATATATGTATATATATATATATATATATATATATATATATATATATATATATATATATATATATTTATATATATATATATATATATATATATATATATATATATATATATATATATATATATATATATATATATATATATATACCAGGTATACCGGTATGAAATGAGCGTTTTTTGTGAAAATAAAACACTAATTATTAATGGGAAAGTATAAAACATTTTATTCAAAGTATTGGCCATTGTTTTCTACACATTTTGACCACCTTTCTGGCAATTTGTGGATACCACACCAATAAAATTGTTCGTTTTTTAAAGCAAACCAACCAGACACCCAATTTTCGACCTCCTCGTTGGAATCAAAGTGCTGCTCAGCCAATGCGTGTCCCATCGATGAAAACAAATGGTAGTCGGAAGGAGCCAAGTCTGGTGAATACGGCGGGTGGGGTAGCAGCTCCCAGCCAAGTGTTTTGATTGTATCCTGAACCGGTTTTGCTTTGTGTGCAGGTGCATTGTCATGGAGCAAAATTACCTTGTCGTGTCTTCTGGCCTATTCTGGTCGTTTCTCAATCAATGCATGGTTCAAATTGATCATTTGTTGTCGGTAGCGATCAGTATTGACGGTTTCACCAGGTTTTAGGAGCTCGTGGAACACCACACCTTTCTGGTCCCACCAAACACACAGCATTGTCTTCTTGCCGAATCGATCTGGTTTTGCAGTCAATGTTGATGGTTGTCCCGGATTAACCCATGATTTTTTCCGTTTAGGATTCTTAAATAAATCTATTTTTCATCGCCAGTAACAATCCAATGCAAAACCGATTTTCTTTCGTGTCTTTGAAGCAAAATTTCACAAGTGTTTTTTCGGTTTTCCATCTGTCTTTCATTCAATTCATGTGGCACCCATTTTCCACACTTTTGGATCTTTCCCATAGCTTCTAAACGGTCAGAAATTGTTTGTTGTGCAACATTTAACATTTCTGCCATTTGCTTTTGACTCAAAGTGTCATCTCCATCCAATATCGTTTGCAATTCGGCGTCTTCAAACTTTTTTGGTGGTCTTCCACGTTCTTCATTTCTCACATCAAAATCATTATTTCTGAACCGTTGAAACCATCTTTTGCATGTTGCTTCTGATAGAGCATGATCACCATATGCCTCGACAAGCATTCGATGCGACTCTGCAGCACTTTTCTTCAAATGAAAACAAAAAATTAATGCTTTCCGCAAATCATCACTTTCCGGTACAAAATTCGACATTTTTAACACAATGAAAAAATATGATGTTGTCTGTTCAATGACTTAATGTATACTAAATATGTTTCACAGATGTCATAGCAAACAAACAAAAAAAAAAAAAGGCTCGTTCACAACAAATGTTCCCTATCGAGACATTTGTATCTTGACGCTCACTTCATACCGGTATACTGTTACATTTTTTAAACATGCGTAAATGTTGCTACATCGACTATCTTATAGCCTGACTCGCAACGGAGTGCTGCTACATCGACTGACAAATAGCCTGACTCGCAACGGAGTGCTGCTACATCGACTGACAAATAGCCTGACTCGCAACGGAGTGCTGCTACATCAACTGACAAATAGCCTGACTCGCAAGGGAATGCTGCTACATCGACTGACAAATAGCCTGACTCGCAAGGGAATGCTGCTACAACGACTGACAAATAGCCTGACTCGCAAGAGAGTGCTGCTACATCGACTGAGGGTTTGGTTTGGCCAGGCAGTCTATCAATTAAAAAAAAAAATTTAATTTTTAAAACTTTTTCTGGTCTGGTTTATTAACGCGCTCTTTAAAACTACAGTTTATGGGAAATATTTTTTGATGCTACGCAAGAGACATGCAAGAGTATATATATATATATATATATATATATATATATATATATATATATATATATATATATATATATATATATATATATATATATATATATATATATATATATATATATATATATATATATATATATATATATATATATATATATATATATATATATATATATATATATATATATATATATATATATATAAATATATATATATATATACATGAAAATACTTTTTCATGTCTAAAAAAAAATTTCACAACAAGAGCTTTTAATTTAAACTCCAGCTACACATACACTAATAAAGTCAATGGTTAGCGTTATTCAAGATGATTCCAAAGTAAGACTTTGAATTCCTAATAAAACGCAGACCTAAAAAGTAATTGTTAGTATTTTTATTAGTATCAAAATAATATGATTTTTGTTGTCTGCTTTTTTTTTCAAAATTCAAAATCATGAATTTTGTTTGGGACAAAATGAAACAAAAAAATCATTTTTTCCGAAAATGGGACAAAACGAAAGTTGTTGGGATGCTGGGACAAATGGCATAAAACTGGGACAATCCCGGTCAAAATGGGATGTATGGTAAGCCTATATATAATAATATATACCGTTGTGGTAATAAGGCCACATTTTGACTGTTTTTTCCCCCCAATGAGTTGCTAAATACAAGAGCTATTTGTAGCTAATTATAGATTTTAGAGCTAATTGTAAATATTATTCATGAATTACTTCTACAAGATGCACATTATATGCGAAAATCAGCCATGTAGCTTTAAAACTTTAACCACAACTTGTTAAAGAAAATCATTTTTGAAAA